TTTGCCTTAAAGGGTATTGGCAAAACAAAAAAATTGTATTGCTTCATCTGAAAGAGCATGGAAAAATAAGCAGATTGGCCGTTTAATGCTCTATTCTATCTCATCTAGTTCCGAAGTTATACGCAAAAATGTGCAAAATATAAGTTGCTGATTCAGCACAGCGTGTGACGTCATTGGTTGGGTAAGTATGTTTAATGAATACTAAACTGAAGCATAGTTCAGTTATTATGGACCCAAATCAAATGAAATTTTGCATACTGATTGTACATGATGAGACGCATTGAAAAACACTTCCAATTTTGTTGCCAAGGTAACAATGTCGTTCTCAGGCCCCTTGCGCCAATTTTATAAAACAGCTTTATTTATGGTACTTATAAGAATAAAGTAATATCAGAAGTATGTGTACCATACCTATGCATGCCAAAAGTTTACTTGCCTGATAATAATTCGAAAATGACATACACATAGATAAATGCAACTAGTTATTCAAAATCAGTGTATGGGGCCTGGGAACGACAGTGTTGCCTTGACAACTAAATTGGAAGTATTTTCTCATGCGTCTCATCATGTACTATCTGTATGCAAAATTTCATTTGATTTGAGCCAATAATAACTGAGCTATGCTTCAGTTTACTATTCAATAAACATACTTACCCAACCAATGACGTCACACGTTGTGCTGAATCAGCAATTTATATTTTGCACATTTTTGCGTATAACTTCGGAACCAGATGAGATAGAATAGAGCAGTAAACGGCCAATCGGCTTATTTTTTCATGCTCTTTCAGATAAAGCAATAAAAATTTTTATTGCCAATGTCCTTTAATTTACACATTCGACTAACCCGATTTCAATGACGTGGCCTTACAAACATTATGTAAGCAACGACATACTCGATTCTATATACCTATATGTTCGTCAACATTCCTTCGATATAGACTAACGTAAATATGTCCAATCGTCGCGCGCTATATCATTAATTACTATATTTTTCTAATACGTATAAAATGTTTGATCAAACTGATATGTCATTACACGATATAAAACAGACCCCGTGCGCTAATATTAACCCCAACGACCCTTGTACAAGCTGTGATTATAAAAACAACGACATATTCGATTCTATATGCGTTGGAAATGACTATCGACCTGACAAAACATATTACAATAAAGACTTTACTAAGAATTTATACACATCTCTGTACAGTATGAGCGTTAGTGAACTTAGCCTGTGGTCGATAGACGGTTCGTATTTCAAGGATAAAAGGAACCGCGCAGCAGGACACCGCGGACACGAAGGCTACAGAGCCACAGAGAAACAGAGCCACGGAAGATCGCGCTCAGTCTCTCACATAGTGGTTAGCTGCGCATGCGCGGCTACCCACAAAAAGCAATAATCACGAACTTGTCATAGCTTAGCTAAGATTTATTCCTACTTAATAGTAATTGTGAATATGTGCGTAGTTTACTGAAGTGAAATTCGTCAACTTAAGTCTCAAAGAGGGTTAATTTTCAATGGATTTAGACCCAACTCTCATCGGGGAAAATACGCGATTCTGACTAACATATTTTATCGGATTCGTATTTGCTCATTTTTATCCATTTGGCATGAAGGACATATCATTCAACAGCTAAAAGCATAAAATCTTGTTCTTACGCAGAGTAATTCAGATACAATAGCGCAGTGAAGTTCGATTACATTTTTTTATACACACTGTATAACATCTCATTAAATACTGATCATTTAATTTAATTGGCTGACTATGATCACGTGATATGGAATTAAAATTCTCATTTTGCTACCGTGCAATGGTACAAAAACTATTGCAAGCTCAGCCATTTTTATTCAACGATAGGGTTTAACTAAATTCAATCATTCAAAATCCTACTCGTATTGTAATCGTAGCTCATTTAACTAAAATTTTCATATTGAGACCGATGGATATAGGGCTAATCTCAAGGTCTACATTTTTCAAATACCAATGTAATTATGTATTGTTATTTGAAATAAAGTATTATTATTATTATTATTATTATGGAATTAAATTCAAATACGTAACTTGTGCGAAGCAAAATGGCGGGTGTAAAAGTACAATATTTTAACGATAATTTTTACCATTATCATTTGATTTTCAAAATCAAAATCAGAAATCGTACAACAAGCCTTTGAGGTGCGAGCAAAAAGTCCTAAACTCAACCCAATGGAGAATCTGTAGATGGTTCACAAGAAAAGGGTAAGCAAAGGAAACCTGGAATCAAGGACATTTGCTGAACTAAAGATTGTTGCCCGGCATGAAAATACCTGAAGCATTGAGTAAATCCAACAAGAATGATCTCTTGTCTACATCATCAACCCAGACAATCTTTTGTGTGATATTTTCACTTGTGGAACCAACACGTCCAACGGCCAAGAAAATGTAGTTACTCAAGAAATCACGTGCAAGAATCTAAAAAAATACGTTACAAATTATGTTATTAATGTTGTCAGTTGTGCTTATTTAACAAATATAAAACATTTTCCGTGTTGATATACAGTTATATCAACACGAGTGGAATTGGGAAAACGAGAAATTGTGTGGAAACACGACGCCCGAAGGGCGGAGTGTTTTCATACAATTTCGAGTTTTCCCAACTTCCACGAGTGTTGATATAACTATATATCAATACGGAAAAAATGTTTTATATTTTTTTTATAATATAGCAATGTCAAAAGCCCGAAGGATAAGAAAAATTTCCGTGTTTACAAGCGGCGGAAAATTTCCCGTGTTGACATTGAGTTATATCAACACGGCTCTTAGCCAATCAGCGTTCAGAATTTACAAATGCTATATTATAAATTGGTTTAATACATGCATCATTGAACTGCAATAATAATATAGTTGATGTTAAAACGTCCCATTGACGTTTTAACATATTAGAGAAGTTAAGATACCCCGGTTCCGTCATTTTGTTTACAAATTTCCTCCAGTGTTTGATCATACTTTTTTTCTATTTGATGCGATAGACTATGGTCCGCAAAAAACATAGATGTCTTATATAAACTAGATAGCACATCTCTTTTAGTAAAATTGAAGCCAAGAATATTCCAGCGGTTACCCTCATTTGAATAGATGGCGGCCATGTTGGAGTTTCCCACTCGCTATAATAAACGCTTAAAAAACAACAATAACTTTCATCATTTGAATAGTTTGAAAATGTATTTGGAATAGCTTTAACTTAATGTTTAAGTTCCCTGTTTAAGAAATAGAAAACATACGAGTCTTCTCATTTCATGGGAATATCCTGAGTCTGCAATGACGGCTTCAATTTTTGAATTGCAGAATAATTAGATGCACTATCTAGTGTATATAAGATATCTATGGCAAAAAAAACCATGTACATAATTACGAGTAAACACACGGGCATTGATATAAATTTCGAAACAAAATGACTATACGGTCTACCTGCAACCATAAACCGGAGTACCTTAACCGCTCTAATACTAGAAAATTGTAAATATAGCACTCGCGCCTGTCGCGGTCACATCAGAACTAAAGCAAGTCTCCTACCGCTACATTTTCGTAACCTTTTAAAAACAGAAGATATAAGATAAAATTTATCTTGTTGTAACTCTTATTACTTAACCATTCTTAACCATTAAAATCTTTGTTAATTGGCGCACTTACAAGTTAATGTTTCTAGCGTACAACTATACTAGATTTTGGTCTACTAGATCATACAGTAGCTAATTTTTCGTCTCATCACGTCTTCACATTTTTCATAGCGTTACGGTGCGTCAGAAGAAAAAAAAATGGAATTAGCTGGGGAAAATGGTATAAAAACTGTTCACGACCTTCACAGCTATTGGAGGTCAATGTATGATTCCAGTTCTAGACTAAATTTTGATCTAGGCAAGAAGAACAAAATCCATCACCACAGCTAGAAAGAGCATGTTAAAATGAGTACAATTGCAAAGTTTGGTTGCGAAATGTTGTAAAATGCGGAAAATGTAGCCCTGCGAAATTTGCAAAATTTGTATTAATACGCGCGGGAAAATGCACCACAGGTCGAAAGTGGTACATTTTCCCGCGCGTAATACAAATTAATACAAAATTTGCAACTTTCGTAGGGCTATATTTTCCTCATTTTACAACATTTCGCAACCAAACTTTGCAATTGTACTAATTGTAACATGCTCGTTTTAGCTGCGGTGTTGGATTTTGTTCTTCTTGCCTAGATCAAAATTTAGTCTGTAGCTGGAAGCATCCATTCCGTCATCATGGCTTCACTTTTCTCATAGGCCGAATGACTGAAGTTCTTGGTCCAGATATTTATAGAGCTCACCGCCCCAGACACACAAAAAAGTTATCGACGCCTGTGTACTCGCATATATGCTACAAAGAAAGAAATTACTGAACCTGAATTTCCTTAGGAAACGTGGCACTGAACATAAGAGTTTGCCGATCTCCAGTTTTTGGCATTGTATCCTGTTCCACGATCCTTCTGATCTGTGGTTCAAAGCCCATGTCCAACATACGATCTGCCTCGTCCAATACCAGAAATCTGCAGATAAAAGATACTCGTTGTTAACACGTTACATTAGATGAAAATTGCTCAGCTCGACTGCGGTGGAATCGAACCCGCGACCTATGGCTTGCTAGTCAAACGTTCTACCATGTTATATGATTTATTACAATATAGTCATCCAAAGTATACGAGTTACTCTGCATTCTGATTGTCGAGCTACTCGCCATATATCAGCTCATATACGGCGTGTAGCGAAAAAACAAGATGGCGGCACAAAAACTACAAGATTTTAGAGTTGTACGAAGCAGAAAAAAGGAAAATATTGGCTTTGAGAAGAAACTCTCAAAAGAAAAGAAAAAACTCTCAAAAGATTTTGACAGGTTAGTAAAATACATTTACCGAAACAACAGCGAAAAAAAAACATGTTCATTGAGTTGAGAATATAAATTGTTCAGAAAAGGTCGCAACGAAAAGGAAATGAATTTGAAGTCAACAATCACTTGCTATACTACCAAACATATGAATAAAATATCTCAACTTTTCTGTGACAAATACAGGTTCTTTATACCATGATTTCTTTCACTTCGAGTTTTAAAACATTTTAAATTTTCATGAGGCCAAATTAACGACGCGGATTTTGGCCGAACAAACTGGCAAACATTACAACAGAGAAGAATATATTATTGCTGCTGCACTATATTATAAAACAAGTTACCATCCGCTCTCTATCAGCTCATATACGACTCGAGCTCATGGTATAATCACAGAATACCACACAGAAGTCCATCTCCATTGCTTTTTGCGTAAGCTCTATTCGTCATGATTCGTCATTCAGCAAGTACCGTAAACAGAAGCAGTCACCCCCTGGACGTACGCCATTTTTAGTATTTCCAGGGGGGGGCTGCTTCTGTTTACGGTACTTGCTGAGTGACGAATCATGACGAATAGAGCTTACGCAAAAAGCAATGGAGATGGACTTCTGTGTAGTATTCTGTGGTATAATTGTTAACTGTATATTAATTACTTGAGCACCAAATAATATAATAAGGTTTTTTAGAGGAGTGCTCAGGCACACCAAACCCAGCACTGGCTATTTCTTGCTTACTATTTAAAGATATGTTGAATAAATATGCTTTTATTAATAATTATATAAAATATATATCCGCAACTCTCTTGATGCTGGAATTGTGTGAAAGAGAAAATGAGATTCTTCTCACATTTGAATATTTGATTGCTTTTCTACTTTTTATTCTCATTATTAAATAATTATAATGTTAGACGTTTGCAGCAAAATTAAGAATTTGCTTTATTCAATCAAAGTATCAAACTAAATTAATTATTAATATTAGTATTTTGAACTAGAGTTGTGGTGCTGCCTTGAATTCCAAAACTTAAGTTAGTAGGATGTAGACCCCTGTGCACCCCTTCCCATAAATCAACCACTACGTTTTTCTGGATCCAGGTCCCACTTATTTCCAGGTCGGCACATGCCAAACACACCGTCTAAAACGGGTTTTATTATTATTACTTGCAAACGTCGAGACCAATTTTTCCACGATCCAACATGTCTACAAGACGTCCTGGCGTAGCGACAAGAAGATGACAACCACGGTCCAAGTCACGCATTTGTTGACCAACATCAGCCCCACCATACACCACTGCTGGACGTACATGAGATCTGTACGCAAACTAGAAACACGAGAAACAGTTGACACATTAAAATTTCCAAGAAACTTGGCCACGTTCACGGTTGTTTGTCGAAAGATTTTTGTTTCTGAAATTTGGATAAAACATGCACGAGTGAATACTTTTGTTTGTGGAACCAACACATAAATTTATTACTGCAAAGCTTTCGATCCATAAGCCCGGTGTCACAGTGATACGAGTATCCCCGTCTTTTGTGTATCCCCTACTAATATCACTAGGGATATGTATCCCATGCTCACCTCACTAGGGATATGTGTATCCCCAGCAATATGGCGGTCGTGTTCTGCGTATCCCTAAACAACCACCCTACATTCCCACATCACTAGGGATACATGTATCCCTAACATTTCGCGGGAAAGTTAACGAAGTTAACGAAGGTAAGTTTGTTTTAAATATTGATTTTATAATGGGCTTTAAAACCCGACGGCCTTTGCGTATATGAAACAACTAAACAAGACAGCATATAATTTCAGTGTATCTTTAATATTGATTCGCTTTTTTACGATATTGAATTTTTTAAATAAAAAAGAAAGCAAAGTTATTTGCAAGCGAGAATTTGAAATCATATTATTGCAAACTCAAAGTTTATCGATAAAGCCATTTTAAAAGGCAGTTTAGTTTTATAAAGAACACTAGTGACTTTAAAACGTTTTGCGAAGCGTTTGTGGTTGAATTTTACCTTAAATTGAGGCTTACATTACGTATAATAACATACCTAACATATAGATGTTGGGAAATTAATAATTTTGTAATTAAAAGTGATATTTTTAGGCGATTTTTCATTTGTAAGAATATTCTTAAAAAATTATCGTGTGACCATGACAACTTCTAGTGTTGTAGGTATCCCCACCGGGGGTACTTTTATCCCGAGGGATATTAGTGTGGGGATACTAAAGCCACGGGGATGTTCGTATCACTGTGACACCGGATCTTCATCCGTGCTAATAATATGAATAACATGATAATGTTAATAATAAGATCCGGGCTTACGGATCGAAAGCTTTGCAGTAATAAATTTACGTGGTGTTTCCACAAACAAAAGTATTATATGTTTTATCGCCATGCAAACCTACAAAGAACTTATGCGCGAGTGAGTTTTTCAAAGACCTTAAAATAGCTCTCCCGTTCGAAGGACTCGTGCTATTTTGATGCTCTTTGAAAAACTCACTGGTGCATGTTTTATCCAAATTGCACTCGAAACCATCATATTACCTATACTAATAACCTAGTCAATTCTAGAAAACATCTCAAGATTTAGACGATGAAATAAGCATCACAAATTTCAATTAAATCAACGATAGTTTTTGTGATGCCAGTTTCTTAGCTACAAAAGTAAACAACCCAAAACAAACTTTACCTCAAATATTTTGTAGCGGGTTTGTAAGACAATAAAAAATTTAAGTTTCAATATAGCTACTTGAATACTAGCAACAAAAGTACCAGAAATCAAACCTTTTTAGCTTCATCAAGGATTTGAATAGCAAGTTCACGAGTGGGAGCAAGAATAAGACCAATTGGAAATTGCTTTCTTCTGCCAAGATGTTTCATCTGAGAAAAGAATAATAGACGTTCATTGATTGATGAAACAAACATATATCTGAAACGTCTCTACATACACATTTAAATTGATTCATTTTTTTATTCATTACATCTGGTGGAGCCGGTGGTCCTTCTTCATATATTCTGCTCAGAATTGGAATAAGAAATGCAGCAGTCTTGCCAGAACCTACACAAAGACATTCACATTCATTAAATTAACCAGAACAAGGCACGGATTTTCTGGGGCGGTGGCATTTGGCACCGCCCCCAAAAGTTTTTGCACCCCCGCAAATTATATATATTTTGATTCGATAGTTTCATATTTGATTATTCTTACTACTAAATTTGTAAAATTACCAATATTATGGTCTCAGATCTCGCCATGCAGGCCTAGAAAAAAATGTTGTTAAACTTTTTCCTTGGCCTTTCCGGGCGTTGCCACCCGGCCAAAGCAAGCGGTAGCACCCAGATATTTATTCACCCCCTCGAACGAAAATATGAAAATCCATCTCTGACCAGAACCTCACTGTGTTTACTTGTTTAAGATAAAACGAAATCCGACAATTATTGTAGCAACCGATTGGCATCTTGACACTCGTGATACGAGTCAAACAATGTGGCGAAGTCGTCAGAGCAAGCGGCATTCGCCTCTGATGTCGTGGGTTCGAGTTAATGGGTTAACTGTTACCCAAGGTTGAAATAAAAATTTGAAAATATCGGGTATTTTTTTAGTTTGGTGGAAATATTACCTGTCTGGGCACAAGCCATTAAATCACGTGAATCCTTGATAATCGGGATAGCATACTTCTGCACTGGAGTTGGTTTGGAATAATGGCACAACTACAGTAGAGTAATGACACATTAAGTAATGATACATATTAAAAACATTTGTTTCCTAATAAACGATTATTTATACCCTCCAATGCCGTAGACCTGCCCCCCAATTGATCGATCGATCAATCAGGGTTCTCAAATCTCAATAGAAGCCGGCATCCCGCGATTTTCGCTGTCTATATAGCATAGACAATCACCGGTTATTTCCCAAAATGGCAAATTCCTCCTTATACCATAGAAATGCCGAGGGAAATGTTTCTAGCTTTTATAACATAAATTCTACACGTTAACTATTTGAATGATATGACAAAATCTCCACAACAGCTCTTCAAAATAGCGGGAAATGCCACTGAAGAGCGTCTAAATTTCATTATCGTCATGGGGAGACGCCCTCGGGCCCTCTCCCCCAGGAGAATGTTTATTATACATTTGGCACCAATATAGCCGCCTACTTCTTTCAAAAAAACCTCCTAGTCCAAATTCTAGTGGGAACCCTGATCAATCGATTATTTTTTGGTGTTTTTTGGCAATCAATTTTTCTTAACGATAATCGAATCAACAAAACAGCCGTACATATACAGTAGCATGACACCTGGATAACTTTATTTCCTGATTGAAAAAAAAAACAAGGAGATAGTGTTGTAGATGTAATTAAATGACAAACGCGACTTGTTTTTTATTACTATTCTGCTACCACTAACTCTCCCATTGGCTGTCAAAAAAATCTTTAAAACATCCCCCTTCCTGTAGGCGACACAAATTTATACGTATGTACAGGCAAGACGGGGAAGTCCGGAAGACGGATAAACAAACTGTTTGAAATAAATGATTGTATGGAAATCTTGTCTTGTATTTACTTTCGTATGAATTTTATACAGTTTCGAACTAGAGCTTTAACCTTTAGAGCAACTTTGATCAACTGGGAAAAGTGCCTGTCACGGCTTTAAATGCTAGTGCACTGTGCGAGACGTGAAAATATGCATTTTGCTGTTAATAGAATCTGGACGACGTCTAAAATCCCTGCTAGACTTTTATTCATTTCTTTTGTGCTATAGGATTAATGTCATTGTATATAGATAGCCGTCGTCCTGACGTTGACGTCTTACATGCGTTAACCACTGTGGACACATGATTTATTTAAAATGATTAATCGATTGTTGATGACGATCAATCGATTACGATAATAAGCCGGTAGGAGCAGCTCTACAATGCTTGGAGGTTACATTTGGACTGCTATGATATGATTTTTATTTAACAAAATATTTTGTTTAAAAAGAACCAGGGTTCGGTTGTATAAAACTCTTAATCACTTTTTTAATCACTATTTTGTAGTTAAATAGTGATTAACTCTCAAATAGGCGCTTCTTATTGGATGACATCTCCACTTAACTATGATTAACTTTAATCACTTTGTTATACAACCGGCCCCAGGGCTTTAAGCCTGGTTCACACTCTAACAGTTGTCGGCGATTTTGTGTTTCTGACGGATGCAAACGAGTGAACTCGCACACAAAAGTATAGAGTCGCTTTTCAGAAGTAAACAATTCTAAGTCTTTTTCACGTCATTCATTCGATCACATCTTCCAGGAGGAGAAAAATCACCGAGTGTGTGAACCAGGCATTACCATGACACTAGACTATATATACTTACACTAATATTGTGTGTGATAACCTCTCCAAGATTAGTACAATCAGCAAACTAAATTTGAAACAATTAAAATACTGATTAAAAATTCATAAACCTGGTGGCAAATCATGTCAGCCATAACATGTCACGTGGAGTGACTTTATATCTGATAAAACTCATCTCCATTAGTATTCTTTATATAATTCTTCATCCTAATTAGTATGATTATATAATTGTTCATCCTAATTATTATTCTTTTTGGTCGTATTTTAAGCTATTGAAAACACTCGAACTCGCATTTTATCATATCTAAAACGCTATGCTGCGCCTCGCGTTTTAAATATGATAAACCCTCCTTCTCGTGTTTTAAATACTACATAATACAACTATTGTTTTGATCATACAGAGGCCTAATGTTATATTGTCTGGAATACAGAGATATAGCCTATCATTACAGCCTAAAGGCCGTGTTACACGCAACCTCGTTCCCAGGCTATTTGCTCTTGGGAAGCAAAGACCCTGGTCGGAGCTGGTCACGTGAACCCCCAGATTTTGGGGGTAAATTGAATTTGATCTCAGGGAGGGATAGGAGAGTAGTCTGTTTGTTGCATTTGGAAAATTGCAACTTTATGTGTTATAATTTCGGGTGATAAAAATGTAATTTGCAACAAGAGATTGTGAAAGGAACTGTTCTAAATTCGTACCGATCATGACAAGACTTCCTGCTATACTGAATGTCATCAATAATAAGTGTTGCGTTACATTTCAAGCGAGAAGCTGGATCATATTTCACTTGCAAGGAAAACACTCCACACGCGCCTGGCCTGCGAAGTTTAGCACGTATCGCCGTAGAAACATACATATCTTCTACACAGACTGATCGATCAAACGGTATTAAACGAACGATATGGTTCTTTATAGTTGAAGTGTATCCTGTCCGATATTCAAAACAAAAGATTTATTTTATAACGGGATCCTTTGCCTTTGATTTCCCAAACATCGCCAACATGCATGTGTAAAAATAGTGCTATTCTGACTGTAAAAGCACAGGATTAAAACCCGTTATGGACTGGCTATAAAATTAATTTCATTTACATTGCTGAAACTCAACGATCAAGAAAGATAATGTCGAAGTGTAGCTAGCTATCTGTTATCACACAAACGCCAAGACTCCTCCGTGCGTTTCCGTGCGTGCGGTACAACTTGAATATCTAGGACGATATATGCACCAGACACTGGTATTGTACTTTATATAAATTATTTCATATTTTGTATATACAGTAATTTGCAACATGTATAATATTAGACCTTTCATTGACATTGGCATGGTCCATTGAGGGCTTTATTGAAGATTAGTTCAAATTTGTGCGGATTTCTATTGTTCTCAATAGGGTTTTATTTGGGTAAGAATCTGAAAGCAAGGGGAGGGATTTGATATCTCTCCAGGGAAAAGCGGGGTTGATAAATAGAATTGAATTGGATTGACGATTAAATATACACCGGGTTTTATCTATATAAAACCCGGATTTTTGCGGGTTATATATATATATAACCCGCAAAAATCAGGTTTTATATACTTAGATAAAACCTAGTGAATATTTAATCATCAATTCAATTGAATTCTATTCATCAACCCCCCTTTTCCCTATAGAGATGTCAAATTCCCTCCACTTGCTTTTAGATTCTTACCCAAATAAAACCCTATTGAAAACAAATTTAGAATCTTTGCTTCGACAAACCCATACACATATTGTTCGTTATAGCGCTTCTACCTTCGGCCCACTCTTTCCAAATACGATCGAACTGCCCAGATGGTGTTGGGTCTTGTGCCTACAGTATATTCGGTATACGCTCAATACGCGTTTTTCAAGACTCTTTATCTCTGTCTAGTTTGAGCACTGCAAATCCCAATGGTTCGTCATTTGCTTGCAAAAATTCTCTTTCCATAAGCCTACATTTTCATCTGATTCCGGTTGCCTGGAAGCATTTTTTTCGTCGCTACATAGGTAGTTCACGTTTCAATCTCATTTTCATATGGACCCCATGGTAACAATCGTTATTCTCTTAATTCAATGCAAGTATTTTCGACAAAAAAGTAGATTTAATTGTTTTTCAATCCTTACAAATTTGAACTAAGTGAGTTAATTACCTCGAACGTCGGTTTCTTAGCGAGATACATCCCTCGGGAGCGTAGCCCTCAGAAAGCGTCCCTCGGGCCTACGGCCCTCGGGACGCTTTCTTCGGGTCACGCCCCTCGGGTTGTATCTCGCTAAGAAACCTCGTTCTCGGTAATTAACTCTTACATAATCCAGCTTCTTTAGACTTGTATAATGGATTAATGCCGCTGTGAGTTATCAATATTTAAATCAACTTTAATCTTTATCGTATACTGGAATCGACATTTTAGAAGTTTAGTCTGTTTTACCAAACAATACTGGAGGCAAACAACCTATCTATCAATGGAAACTTTAAAAGGTTTGCTACAGTAAAACTCATTAATATAAGCGAGACTTCGTGTGCATATACAGTTTATGAATTATGTATGTCCCTGATAAAACGTACTTAACGTAGGACACGTTATACCAGATATAATAAAAAATACTTTGCTAAACCTTTTCGGCTGTCATTCCTTTGCATTTAAGGGGAGAGGGTAAATGGCGATAGAATTTATAGGAGATGCTGTGCAATATTTTGGCTTCAACAAACAGGTACTCGTGCAGACAAAAAAGGAAATTCTTGCAGTTATGAATTGTCGTATGTCAGCTGTGCACTGTCGATTTCAAACAATTTTGTACGTTATATTTTGTCTTCCTGGTGTTTAATATAAACGATGATAGCCATTTAAAAAAAAAATCTAGAGCAATATGTCTATAAACAGTTTTAGAATCAATAGAATGGACATTCACAATGTGTATTTGGCTTGTGTCCAAATGTGTCACGTTTAAGACCGGCAAGGCGCTAATCCTACGACCTATATAAACAGTCGCTTTCGAGACATCTGTTTAACAAAATTTATACCATGTCCATATCAGAACATTTCATTGGCATATTATAAGCATATTATAAATATCAGAGCCACAACAGAAACGTATGCGTGAAATAAAACTATACGCCCGAACCGGCGAACCCCGAGAAAATAAAAATATTTCAAAGCGTACAGTCATGACAGTCATATGTTCTCGTTGCTTGATTTCCTGAATTTTCTGTTGCCATAAGAATCTGCATTTTAGCATGTTTGTATAATTTAAAAGCAAACTGAAACCAAGTTAGCAAGTAGTTTGAGGTATATATGATTCTTGAAGATGAATTAATGATTGTACAGAACGGCCACTCCTTGCAATCGAAGTGCGGAAGTGGAAACATGTAATATGAGACTTTTCCACCCCCCTCTTGGGCTATCAATTTTCAATGCATCACGTGACCAGCTCCGACCAGGGTCTTTGCTTCCCAAGAGCAAATAGCCTGGGAACGAGGTTGTGTTACACGGTGCAACTGTTTCTTGCAACTTGCAATGCAATTCTACTCTTGAGAGATGTTAATTAGTCAAATCAGTGAAGAATTTTCGAGAGAGAAAACATCAGCGGAGTGTAATGAAGACTAGAATTTGGCAATTTTACATTGCCAGATACGAGTCTTCATTACACTCAGCTGACGTTTTCTCAACATATCGAAAATTCTTCACTAATTTCACTAATTAACATCTCTCAAGAGTAGAATTGCATTGCAAGTTGCAAGAAAAATTGCACCGTGTAACATGGCCTTAATACACTGGAAAAAATAGTGAAATCCATACTATGCATGGAATTTGCAATTGCATCACTAAATCCACAGTATACCCATACTATTAAGGAATTGAAATTGTAATTAGTATGAAAATTGGATTTCCATATGTACTACTTCCAACGAAGATTCATACTACTTCCATAGTAGGGATTTTGAAAAAAAATGTTGAAGGTTTTCTTGACTTTTTGTACATGGAAATTACAAGTGACGAAAACTAACATGTTTTAGGCCCATCCTGGAGCAGTTGGAATATAAGGAATTGAACCTGTGGCTATGAACCTGTGGTTCACGTATTAGCTGTATGTATACTATACATGCACACGTAAAAATATCTCAACTGGTCAATAAGGGTTTGAAGCAAGCTTGTCAACAAGTTGTAAGAATGCTGTTATTTTATCAAGTTGCTACAAGTAGGGAGAATCGATATATCGGATATATCCGGTATACCAGTATTTGTTTATATACCAGTAATGGCGATATTCATAATTCAAAAATACCGATATACCGATATTTCGGTATTTCAACTCAAAACAATACTCACAGATGGACGATTTTGTCAGTTGAATGTGGTTTAGCAATACTGAGACAACTTTGTTAATTGTTATTGTTATATAGCTAGTGTGAACACCAAACGTGATTGGCTGATTTGTAGTCACGTGGCTTTAGATAAATGCAATGTATCCCGCCCGGGCAATAAGTGAAAAATTGGTGCCCGCCCCGTCCGGCTACGTACATAAATAAACAAAATGGCGGCACAAATTTATACTATTTAAACTACTGTTTTCGTGGCTTTGTGTTAAAATAAAGAATGTAAAAGAGAAGAAAAATACATAACAGGCAACAGGATATGCTGCTGAAACCATTTAAGTAGGTTTTTAAAATTTTAAACTCGTTTACGCTATAGAGTTTTTGTCATGAAATACAAATATTGTTGTATGAATGTTGCTCAATGTTGATATTTGTTTCGTCGCTATATAACAAAACACTTAACGTCTTTTCCCTCGGGAAACAGTTAGTTTTGTTTTCCCTCGAATCTCAATGTTTCCCTCGACTTCGTCTCTGGAAACATTGAGATTCTCGGGAAAACAAAACTATTTCCCTCGGATTCAGACATCAAGTGTATATTATATAACCGGAAATATTTCTTATAATTGCCCCTTAGCGTCGTTATAGCATAGTTTGAAAATGCGAATCTTGTGATATATTGACACTTATAACAACAGTATAGGTGTGACATAAAATTTTGTCAAAACTTGATTTTTCTTAGCAGGCTCTTTGTCAATGAGCCTGCCACGCAGGCTAGATTTTTCTCGACGTTCAGAAGTTCAGTTTGGCTTCTTAAAAAACACGTTAAAAATGCCAATATTCCTGTATTTACCGGTATTCTGATGGCGGTATGCCGGCATTTGCAATACCGATTCTCTCTAGCTACAAGGTTGTCACTCATGCACAACTTGTTGACAAATTGTTGAATTGCAGGATGATAATAAGTTGTTGGAACAACTTGTAACAAGTCTGTTGAGCTCAACAAGCAAGTTGTCAACAAGCCTGGGAACAAGCAGTGCGAACATATCCCGTTGACAAGTTGTTGGAACAGCATTGCTACACAGGTCTGTTGCATGCAAGATGACCCAACATGCGTATACGATTGCTTAATGCTGAAGGCATCCGCGACACATGCAGATACTGTACTGTAAAGGTTAATTATGGTTATACTTACGTTCTCAATATGAGCTGGGCATTTATCACCAGTCGCTTCTACAGGGATATCCTCGTACTTATCAAAGTTGATCCCAGTATTGCATGCTGCGAACAGTTCCCTAAAAAGATAATTTGAGCTCTTTATAGATTTTAATTACACATTTGAACCAATTTCCAAGTTATTATCGTTTGACGATAACGATTTTAAAATCGCTCGAGCGATTTTTTTCAGTCGGACGATAACGACAAATTTTTTTGACCAATCAGCGGGCGTATACAGTACAAGTTATCGTATCGTTATCGGTGGGTAGTGCAATCTCGTACCCAGAGCAATGCCTGTGCGCGGGCTAGGATGGCATTGGCTCTGGGGAAATTGAATTTTTCATGTGCTGTGATTGGTTTAACGTTTATCAATCGTGCATGCCGACAAAGAACCGGAACCCCTAAATTTAGGGGTTCCGGTTGTCAATTTCCCCAGAGCCAATGCCATCCTAGCCCGCGCACAGGCATTGCTCTGGGTACGAGATTGTGGGTAGTGTGACAGGGTCTTAAAATAGCATTCTTACGAGGTACTTACATGCTGGTACGATCATACTGCAAGTGCCCATAGGCAACCAAACTCCAACCCCGGAAAAATATCTCGGCATCCCTAAACCTGAAGTTTAAATTCTGAACTAAAGCCAGTAAAGGAATGTGCAGGCTAGCCTGACTTACCTTTCCGTTCGTTCATTTCTTGGCAACAACTTTCCCCACTCTTCTGCGGGAGGAACAGACATCCAAGCATCTAAAAATAAATACCTTAATAGACAGCCATCGGAATGAGGCAAAATTGCCTCCGTTATGATCGAACCCGGAGGCAATAGACCCCCTATGAGTGAAATTTTGATCTAGATAAGTCTGGACAAAAATTTCATCATAGCTTGAAAGAGCATCACAACATTAGTAATATTCTGAAGTTTCGTTGCAAAATGTTGTAAAATGCGGATAATATAGCCTTGCGAAGTTTGCCGTTTTTCAGTCATTTTGTATTACGCGGGGGAAATTGGTAATATTACTAATGTTGTGATGCTCTTTCAAGCTATGATGAAATTTTTGTCCAGACTTGTCTAGATCAAAATTTCACTCATAAGGGGAAAGGTCTATTCTACTTTTCAAGGCGGTAATTTTTTCTAAGTGTTATGGATTACATGACAATGAAAACGAACTTATGTGTAATCAAAATAAAAGAATGTCAAGTGCGAAACTTCTCTTTTTTTCATAGGAAGATCAAACATGATAACTGTGTCAGTAGCAGGAAGCAAAAAGTCCGTGACGAAAACGTCGAATGAAAACCTGATGTTGAAACATGCGCTTGCGAAATTTACCAGCGAGTTTAACGTTTGGTATACTGTAGTTATACAGTTAAATAGCCACCTCTGCAGCGATCTCGATATAGCGGTCATGTGTGCCAGGCAGTGTGGATTATAACAATTTCGCGTGGGTCTGACAAATGTCAAATCAAGTGTGCAGTTGCTCGGACATTGGCGGCTAATAATGGTGAGCCAGATTTTCAATATTTACATTGATCGGTCGTGCTGATCACTTCCCGCATGAACAATCATCACCAATCATAATTAACTTTTGGTTATTAAGCAGTCCCAAAGATATTGACCGCCATTGTTATCCAATTTTCTGCATGTCTAGTACCATACATGTGTTGTGTTCTTTTTCTTTTGGAACTTAAATGAAAAGTGCGTAGTTTTATCTCATCGGTTAACATGTCCGTACAGAATAAAATTAGTCTGCCATTTAGTGTTTTGGTTCGGCAAATAGCCGATTGCCGACCGTTATAATCCACACTGGTGCCAGGTTGAGAAAAAAAGAAATGCCTGCGACCCTGCGGATGCCGAATATTTAACGTGTAGAATTCTGAAAACAAGAACGACGACGGATAGAGTTCAGTTAAAGAGCTTTCGTGATCTGGAACGCTCTTCCAAACGAAGAGAGGATAATACTGAAATAACGGGCTATATAATGTAACTTCTTATTGTAATCTTATAATTAGTCTATATAATTAGTCTTAGTCAGTAGAAATTAAATGCATGTAAGTATAGTTTGATTGTTGTTGTAATTTGTTATAAATAGATTTAATAGTTATAATTAAATATTGCATGGCAGTATATTTTTAACACGTGACACTTTGAAAAACAACTGTTATAATTTTAGTTGAATAGGCTACGTGTATAAATATTTTAAATAATTATAATAATTCTGGTTACAAATCCAAAAGTAAAACATTTTTTGTCACGTCTGCGAACTAGATTAAGCGGCAAGCACATCTCAAGTTCCCTTTATTAAAGAGGGTGACATCACCTTAGTATTTATACACGAACTTGTGGTTAGAGCTCGACAACTGTCTGTCTCTCTGTAGTTAGAGAGTTTGGCAAATACAAGGGCAACGGCAATATGGTCATCAACAATAGCATTAATCCCCAAAGACAAAAGTGAATGTAAATTACATGGTCTTAAGCGTTGTGCAATGCCGTAGTTGTTGAAACTAGTACGTGATTTGCATCATTTTCACGGTGCATGACTACGGCAACAGTTAATTCGTTCGATGTTATTTGAGAGTTTTATTTGAATTCGCGGACTATTTTTACTTAAGGGTACGTTTGAAAGAAACAGGAATACTTAAAGAGGCAAATTAAGTGTCGTAAGTTGTAACGTATACTTTGGCTCAAATACAACAACATAAGCAATTATATTTTCCCCGTTGCCGTTCTAGGTTGCCTAACTCTCTGTTCAGTTGATTAGAGTGCTGCACTGGAATCGCAGGGCCGCAGGTTCGATTTTTGCCAGAGTGCCGATACTGTAGTTGCATTTTTCGTAGCTGCTTCTGCTTACACTACTGTACAGTAGGCCTAATAAATATGATTGAAGATTATGGATGGTACAATACCTTTGGGAGAATCATAGTTCCTATCTTTGTAGCCACCTCCTCCACCACGTCGACCATATCCGCCGCCGTAGTTGTTTCTACCACCACCACCACCACCACCAAAGTTGTTGTAATTATTACCAGAGTAACCACCTCCGTAACCACCACCACCACCACCACCAGCATGGTAACCGCCACCACCATAATTATTGCCACCATAACCTCCGCCACGTTCGTAACTGGCAGAACGGTTGTATCCTAAACAAAACAGCAAGTATGAACATATATTACCGGGTGTCACAAAAAAACTGGACACCGTTTTATTTCACGAACTACTGTACAAAGTAAATTCTAATAGACCTTTCCGGTAATGGACCTTTCACCTTTTGACTAAAATTTAGATTTCAACAAGTCTAGACAAAAATTTTATCACAGCTTGAAAGAGCATCACAAAATTAGTAATA